CCTCCAGGGAGGGCTTCTGAGAGAAGCTACCAGGAGCTTCCTCCATGTCTGATGGAGCCATTGCCAGCCAGGTCCAAGACAGACCCATTACTGACCAAGGCTGAGCAACAGTGGTTGCAATTCCGGGATAATATGTTTAAGAAGGAGAAAAAGTTGTCACACAAGAGCAACTGCAGCTGGAGAGAGGAGTGAGGATGTGTGAGAGAAACAGCCCTGCAGACACCAAGGTCAGTGAAGGAGAAGGGGGAGGAGGTGCTCCAGATGCCAGAGCAGAGATTCCCCTGCAGCCCATGGTGCAGCCCACAGTGAGGGCAGGCTGTGCCTCTGCAGCCCATGGAGGTCCACAGTGGAGCAGATACTTGCTCCATGCCGGAGCAGGTGGAGGACAGGAGACTGTGACCCCATGGGAAGCACATGCTGCAGCAGGCTCCTGGCAGGACCTGTGGCCCTGTGGAGAGAGGAGCCCACCCTGGAGCAGGTTTGCTGCCAGGACTTGTGACCCTGTGGGAGACCCACACTGGAGCAGGCTGTTCCTGAAGGACTGCACCCTGTGGAAGGGACCCACAGTGGGGAAATTCATAAAGAACTGCAGCCTGTGGGAAGCACCCACCTTGCAGAAATTCATGGCCCTCTGGGGAGCAGGTAGAGAATTTGGGAGTGAAGTTGAGTCCAGGAAGAATGGAGGAGTGGGGGAAAGGTGTTTTCAATATTTAGTTTTATTTCTCATATCATATTCTGATTTGATTGATAATAAATTAAAATTAAACTAATTCCCTCAAGTTGAGTCTGTTTTGCCCATGACTGTAATTGTTGAGTGATCTCTACTTGACCTGATCTTAGTTAAGGAGCCTTTTCTCTCTCCTGCCCAGCTGAGAAGCAGTGATAGAGCAGGTTGGGTGGGAATCTTGCATCCAGACAGAGTCGAAGACAAGAAAACTAGGCAGGGAGGAGGCCAGCAGGAAGGATTTGCATGTTTTGATGCCACAGAGAGACTCCAACCCAGTGCTGAAAGACCCCGTGCCCAGCCCAGCCTGGGTGCCAGCTGACTGAGCCAGGGCTCAGTTTGATCTCAGAAAAGCACTGCTTGTGCAGTGGGAGTGCTCAGCAAGCACAGGTCATCATTCTGTTGTCATGGCTAAACTGCTGTCCCAGCAGTGTAATATTGGCTACCTGCACAGAAACAGAGGCACTTCATCCTAAGGCTCGGGGTCATTGGCACAGCTCTGCTCCTGGCCAGGTAATGCCAGGCTCAGCAACCCTCCAGCCATGCCGTGCAAAGTGCCAAGCTGTCAGTGCCCCGTGGGGTGGTGTTCCTTGCCTCTGTGACAGGAAAAAGGCTGCAAAAGGCAGCAGCAAAACCTTCAAAATCAACACCACTTTTATGGAGCAAACCTTGCAACTTGATCCTTTCAACTTTTGTGTGTGTGCATGCATGTGTGTGTGTGTCTCTGTACAAAAGGCAGTTCAGTGCATTAATTTATATTTCACACATGCATTTCCCCAAAAATCTCCTGGTGTCTACAAAAGTATGTATTTTATTTTACATGGAAATAACCACAGATTGTATAATCACACTGTTAAACAGGTGTGTTAAAACCGTTACCTGTCAGTGGTGTCCATACAAAAGCAGAGCTGGAGTTAAGTGTAAAACTAATCTGTTATGAAACTGCTGGTAATACATGATCCATGGGAGGTGGGCCATCAGTGTTTGTCCTTCTGCACAGCATTGTGGTGATGACAAAGGAAAGAAACAATGGTGACTTTGACTTCTACTGTAGGGACTGTTTGATGTGCCTTACCTGTCCCTTCTGTTCTTCAAGGAGCATACCCAGATGCCTGGTGTCTTCTGTCTTGAAAGTGGCAAGTAGGAAGAGACAAGGAGAATTAACAGATCAATATAATACCCTCAAGGGTATTATATATAGATGGTGAGGAGGGAAAATGGCTGGAAAAAAAGGATAGATCTTCCACAGTTCTCAGCAATGCTCCCCCGAAACACTTGTGACCATATTCTCCAAAGGGATCAATAATCTATGAACATGCACTTTTATCTGTTGAAAAAACTATTTTGATGTGAAATCAATGATGTGTTCCTTAAGTCCATGGAGGATACTTTAAGGAATTTTACTGATCAATGCACTTTCTCAGCCTCATTATTCATCCTTAACTTTCTTCTTAATTCTGAAATTATCTTGTATTCAGTTCTACTAGTTTGATATCTCCAGTCTACTCAGTATGTTATTCCTAATGCTAGTTCCTCAGCATCTTCTCTGAAGAGTTACTTATGCACCAGAAACATTGCTCTCACTTCATGTTCCAAAAAAAAAGTGTATGTATCCTGTTGCCATGGCAGTGGTATGGGTTCCAACCAACCATTTTAGCCACACTGACTTCAAAATGGTAACCAAGTTTGAGACTCTCTGGTTTCCTCCAAGGAAATACAGAACCAGTGCAGTCAGCCCAATAATGAGTGCTGGAACACATCTGCTCTTGTGGGCTTGCGAGTGACCACCAGGCAACCATGACTGGTTCCCTCCACGGGCCGCAGGGCTGACCCAGTTTCTCCTCAGAGCTGTCATGGCAACCTCCACGGTCGTGTTTGTCACTTTGCATGGAGAAACCTTCATTTTCTGGCTGCGGCAAAGCAACAACTCAATGCCAGTGGCAGTGCAAAGTGGGAGAGCAGCTCAGCCCTTCAGCCCAGGTCCTGATGCTGAACAAAACCCATGTCATGTGGTAGCAAAGAAGTTGAATACAGAAGGAAAAGCAACCTGTCTCTTACTCTTTTCCATTCTGGTGCCGCTCTGTTCCTCATCAGGAAGCACATTCAGGATGGTTTGGTAAAGAAATGAGGCACATGGAGCGATTCCATGTGTGCATACCATGAGGCAGAGCCTCCCCCTCTTCATTTGCAGTCCTCCCTGAACTCAGGGTCATTGCACACACAGACCTAACTCAGCAGAGGTTTAATATCCTCAGATCCACAAAATCCATGGGAAGAGTCCAAACAGGGAAGAGTGATCATGACTCCACACAGAGGAAGGCAACAGTGAGAGCTCAGTCTGTACTGGAGAGTTTGCATGAGCATGGCACAGGTCGACCGACACCTGCCTGGGCTGCTCCCAGGACCTCTGGTTTTGCATTTACCCATTCCCATTACCCAGCCATTCATTACTCTGAGAGAGAGCTGCCCACAGCAACAAAGAAATGTCAGCACTTTATACTAAAACCCAGTGAAAGTGGAGAGAAAATTGTTCTGAACCATGGGGCAGAAACCCAAAAATCCCTCCTGTGTGGTGGGGAGAAGGAAAAAGGAAAAAAAAATTTAAAATAAAAAAAAAAAAAATAAGAAGAACTAGAAAAAAAAAAAAAGAAAAGGAGGAAAATGCCTGGGAGGTTTGATTTATAAAGGGAAATGAGCTGTAAGATAATGTGCTTGGACTGGCCAAGCTGAGGCGGGTGCGAGAAAAGTGGGTGACAGCCAGCAAGCACCAGAAAGAGCCCAGGCAGTGGAGAGGGAAAAGCACAGCCTGCTCAGAGGGAGTGAGACGCACAGAAAGTGCATGCTAAGTAGGAGTGCCAGGATGACATTTGAAAAGGGGAAAATTTAGGCTGAGTGTCAGGAAAAGCTTCCTGACAGTGAGATGCATGCACTGGAGCCATCCCGCGGGAGAAGCCCTGGAAGCTTCATCACTTGGCTTGCAAGAGCTGAGCTGGAGGAAAGCTGCAAGTCCTGGAAAGGCCTTGCAGAAATCCAGAGCTTGCAGAAAGTAAAGAGCAAGGCTTGCTTTAATTATGGGAGGCCTGGCTTAGAGGTGAACTCCACAGCCATGAAGATGGTCCAGGATGAGGGGAACTCCCAGTAGGTGACTGGGAGGTAGCAGCTCCCAGGCACAAGCATCACTCTCCCCATGGGAGCTTTGAAACAAATGGGTAAGCAAGATAGGGAAACAGATAGGGAAATAAAAAAATCCCTTCTCCTTTAAGGCAACATTATCTCTCAGCAAAGAGTTACTCTGCTCTGGCCAAGGCACAGTCAGTCAGGGCTCAGGCTTCTGTTAGTCTGGGCCCCTGGGAAGGCCAGCTGCCAAAAAAAGAGGAAAATTTTGCTTTAGTCAGGGGGTAGGGCATGGGTGTATTGGGAGGAAAATGAGGGAGAGAGTGAGGGAACTTGCACAGGAGAGCAAAGGAGAGAGGGGGGACGTATGCATTCACTGTGTCTCTGGATGTGTAGCAAGGCAAGAAGCCCAGCAGAATGACTTGGGAGCGGGGGGAGAAGGTAATGGCTGCAGGCAGAAGTCAATGCACAGAAACTCCAGCAATGATGCTGCTTCTCTCCTGTCAAGAAGCCTTGTCCAAAGAAATCCATGTTAAAAACAGTCAGGTCATGGACTCTGTCCCCAGAGCTCCCTGAGCCACCAGCCTTCCCCATCACAGGAGGAGGAGGAGGTGATTTCCCCTGTGAGGAGGCAAACAGAGTAACTTCTCCTTCAGGGGATTATCCCTGTGCCACATCCCTGGGCACACCACTGGGCCAGCTGTGCCCTGCCTTGCTGGGAGGAGCCTCTCCATCGTGGCACAAGACCTACAGCATACAGCTCCAGAGCTCACAAGCAGCCTGGTGTGTGCTGAACATCATCCCATCGATTCCAGTGGCATTACTGGGAGCTGAGATCACAATGTCACTTCCATAGCATGAAACTGAATTTGAAGCTCTTACCCCTTGTGAGCTCCTTCTACCCCCAAGGAAAGCACCTCTGTGCCAAAGGTAGCCACACATTCATGCAGAAGATAGTCAGGCATGGGCAGTTAAAGTGATAACTGAGCTCTGGCACAGCTGCCCTGGGAGTGCCATCCCTCTCCCATCCCAGCTTTTACTGCTGTGTTCCTTTATTCGGATACACCGCCCTCTCCATTTAAACAGCAAACCCAGCAGGGCAGGAAATGACAGCCCATGCTCTTGCCGAGCCAACAGAAACGGAGCTAAAGTGGAAAGCCTATTTTAAGAGTAAAGTACAATATAAAGAGGTTGCATTTATTTCCAGACCAGACATTACAAACTCAGGGAATTCAGAGTTAAAGTTATGCTTAAAATAAATTCAAACTTGTTGAAGTGTGGCAGTGTGCTACCAAGGCATACAAATAGCCTTAATTCTGCCCTGCAGTGACACACAGCCGTATGACTGTGATTAAAATGTTTTAGTACTTGTGCTCTTAAACTAGATTTCCCTGATAAATACAATTTTTTTTTTCCATATTCCCTTGCTTTTCACCTCCCCCAACAACCCTGTGCCCCAGATATAGCCACTAGCACAAATTTCACTGCCTACCAGGAAAAAAAAGAAGATATATATCACAGGTCCTTCACATCTGTAATGGGAGCCCCGGGCTAAGTGTTGTCTTGGAAATACCCTCCCTCCCACCGTCAGATCCGCAGCCACCCCTGCCCAAGGCTCTGGAGAGCACAACTGAAGTGTGCAGCAAATGATCATTTAGCTGTGCTGAGGAGAAGGGAAGTGTTTTCTTCCCACCTTTGATACCACTGTAATCTACACTCATGTATTTATTTCACAAGCCCATTAAAACCTTGGGTTTAAAGTGCAGAGAAAGTAAAAGAGAGAGAAAGAAACATCATCTGGATAAACAATTATGGCTTTTTGTCAAGGATTCAGGAGATAATCTAGTCCAGATCTGTTCCACATTCACATTTACATGTGAAATTGTACTTACTGAGCTAGAAAAAGTCAGATTAGCATCAAGAGTCAGCTCTGCCCCTCAGCTACACATAGTGCAAACTCTGGAGTGAATGGGGGCTCCCAGGGTGTAAGAGAAGGCACAGTTTGGCCCCAAATACTTAAGGGCCATTTGGCTGAGATGCACATGAAAGTGGCTGCTCTGCACTTCAGCCCAGTTTGAAATGATTCTACAGAAGTCGTATTTACTTAAGAGAGTGGGTGGCCTGAATTGTCACGATGTGTTCAAATATTTGGCACTAAATCACAGCTGTCCACTTATTTGCACTTTTGCTGCTGGGCAGCAGGAACACCCCTGGAATTAGTCAGCATCAGACACATTAATGAGCTAACAGATATATTACGGTTTACAGTTTGGACTTCTTTTGTTCATGTAAATACACACCTCCTCTCCTCTTGTTTCCCAGAATGGCATATCTTCTTGAACATGTTGACTTTCCAAGCTTTATTTTATCTTGCCTTTATTAATGAGCTTGCAGGGTTTTCTGTTAGATGCAGAAAAGCACCTTGCCCCTAGAAGCCTTCCTGAGCATTACACGCAGTCTTGGAGAGACCCGGGAGTGTGAGGGGAAATGGTCCAGCCTCCGAGAGTTCCTCTTCACGAGCCAAAAGCCATCCTCTGCATGCAAAGATCCCAAGTAAATATGGAACCAATAACAACCAGGAGCAAAGACCTTTACATAAGGAAAATATTTACAAAGTCCATGTTACAAGTCACATCGTCTGGAGGAAAATGCTTGCACCTTTGCTCTGCAGAAAGCAAGTAATTTGTTGCACCAAAGGAAAGAAAATCTTGTTATCTGGGTTAACACTCCCATGATTGATTCATCCCACTTCTTTGCTGCCAGAAAACTTTTATAAATCACAGATATAGCATAGGTCATGATTTAATAACTTGCCAAGAAAATTTATCCTGTGCAAGAGGACTTCAGGTCCAGTGTCAATTCTTTGCAACTTGTATGCTTCATGGATGCTAACTGCAAACCCTAATCATTTTTATTAAACAAATCAACAGAATTTTTACCAGGGTAATGCTCTAGCATGGAATAAGTGGGAGCCAGGTTTTTGTGTGTGTGAATAAAATAGTTTTTCAGAAAAAAATGCTTATTTGCTGACACTGAAGTTTCTTGTGGGAATACATCACTTTTATAATTAAATTTTCATCTGGAAGATTTTTCAGGTCAAAAATGGAATTTCTGGTCAGAATCATAGCAGGGAGGAACACACAGGAAGCCAGGCTCTCAACTGAGCACAGCCAAGCCTCTTGCATCCCAAGCACTTGGCCTAATTATGGAGCCAGCAGCTCATCTGCCACATGGCTGCTTCTTACCTGGTCTTGACCATTTTTGGCCATACTTTTCCAGCACCATTTCCTGGCTCTCCTTCCAGCCTCTCTCAGAAGCAGGAGGTACAAAGCCATGGACTTTGGAAAAGTCCAGGAAAGCATCTGCTCACTGTACAACTGTATTTTCCGGGAAGCATCCCCAAATGGGCTCTTGTCTCCAGCCGGAGGAGCACAAAGGAGCAACCCCACTGCCAGCAGCCGCTCTCACCCACACAACAGGATCTGGGAGAGGATGTCTGGCCATATCTGCCTTCCCCTCCATGTGAAGGAACACACCATATCAACAGAAAACACCTTTGGTAAGGGCATAAATGCACCTCCCTCCCTGGGAGGCTGCACGGTGTTATCTGCAGCAGTGGAAGGAAGCAGAAGAGCCGAGCTGCTGGCAAGCCTTCCTACCCTCACAGCCTGATTCACCAGAACAGCCCGGCTGCTTTTTGTCACCATAATGACCACACACCAGAGCTGCAAGCCTGGTTTCACCGCTCAGTTTGTGACACTCTTGTGCCCATGGAGTGGTACTGAATAGCTGGAGGGGGGTGGTGAGCCCCTCCACGAGCTCCTCTACATTGCATACCTCAGCCAGGGTGCTGCAGCAGAGGTTGAAACCGAGTTGTCACCAGCCCCACCGCACAGCCTTGTCCTCCGTTCACTTTCAGGAGGGCAAGTCAGAAGTGGTTCAGCTCAACCACCACAGTCAAATGAGTCTGAAACACTGTTAGGAGGGATTAAAATCACATGTGAGTGTGTGTGTGTATGTGTGGTTTCACAACACCTCCCTCTCTCCACAGCCAGCCACACCAGTTTCCTCAAAGAAAAGCAGAACAGTAGAGCACAGACCCAAAGTTATGCCGTGATGCATTAAAGCCTTGTTTTCCCACTGCTTAAAGAACTGACCCAGCCCCCTCAAATGTTCCCAGCATACTTGAATTGTGAGTCAGAGACCACAATGGAGATACTTGCCTAGCTTGACAAAGTTAAAGTATCTCCTGCCAAACAGCAATCACTGATTTTTTGCTCTGTCACTCATGAGTCCTGTTCCTGCTGCTCTAACCACACAAAACACACTGCCTCATTGTGGAATTCAGAATTATTGTTTGGATGCTTACCTGTAGCATCTCCAACTTTTCATAATCCCCTTCATGAGGAGTGCTGCTAACAAACCAGATGGAAATTTGCAGGTATTGAAAGCTCATGTCTCTGTACCCACTGTGGAAGCAATAGAGGATGGAAAGAATAGCAATACTGAAAAGTGAGGCCAGGAAACACTTCATCTTTGCAGGCAGGGTCTAACATTTAAAAGGAATTATAATTCAAGAACAAGATTTCCACAGACTGGTCTGGCACCTCACTTAGCAAAACACCCCAAGGCTTAGGAGTTAATCTGTGATAGACCCTTCCTTGGGCTTCATTCGCCATGGCTAAAGCAATTGCCTGTCATGAGCTAGCATCCAGGGTGGCAAAATAAGTTTTTTACTCATTCAGTTGCCGTGGCAAAAGGCCTGCAGCACTGAGCAGGGCTCCATTTTCTTCCACACCCCTGCTCTGCCACATGTCATCCAAACAGCTCATACAGCCCTGCTCGGGGCAAAGATTATTATTTTACTCACTGTAGGTCACACTCATTTCCTATTTGTTAATTTTCCTACACAATCCTGAGTGCTAGAAACATTTTTTTTTAATTAACTTCACACACACACCCCCCCCCAGCCCCTTTTTCTTCCATCAAAAGGCACAATTCTCACACAATCCGAGCACTCTGTCAGAGAGGCACGAGGGCTTCAAGGAAATCCCCCAGTAACAGAGGGCAAGGCTTGATCTGCAGTGAGGAGAGCTGGCAGCCCTGCAGTGCACCTCAGCACGCCAGCTGTTGCTCCAGTGGTGGAGCCACACTGGGAGGAGTTCAAGGACCAGCAGCTGAGAAAAAGAGTCAGACACAACCAAACCCTCCAACGTTACTTGAGGTCGAGGTTGTGTGTGTGCACGTGTGTTCATTTGCTTTCTTTTTCTTTTTTTTTTTTTTTCTGCACCGCAATTAGAGTTAGAATTTCTTCAGAGGATTCATGCTTGTACTTGTACCAAGAAATCATTCCCATTATCTCCTTCATCGCCTGGGCTGCAGTGCAGAGAGCAGCAGCCTGCTGTTATCCATCCCTGCTGTCTGGGGTTTGGGACAGCTGGGCTGCAAGGCTGGAGAGATGGGGGAGTTTCCTGGCTCTGGGGTACACAAGGAGGAGGGAGATCATTTTGTGTGCTGCTAATCTGTCTCTGCAGGAGCGCTGGTTTTCGCCTCTGTAGCACCTGCCATGGGGGGCCTGGGGGTGGGACACAGGAGCAGGAAGAAAAATAACTTCAAGCAAGATTTACTCCCTTCCTTATTAGTTAGTGCTTGCCAAAAAAAGTTATGCAGAGGCAGGGGGTTGAATAGGCCTGAGTGGACTTCACATAACTGATGTAAACATTACACTCTGACATCTCTCTCCTTTCAGGAAGGGGGAATCTTTGACTGAAGCTGTTTCCAAAGCCCTAGACAGAAACCCAGGAGCTCTAGGATGTTCTTCCCAACTCCGCCTCAGGCTTGAAATTTCAGGACCATGGTGTTTTGCTGACAAACCTGAGCCATACCAGTGACGGTTTCAAACCTCCCATCCCTCTCCCCCACCCCTCGAGCACAGCGTGCATTGCTCCGAGCTGTGCACATGTACTGACCTCTCCCAGCTTGGTCCTGGGGACAGAGTGATACACGGGCCAGACCTGCACTCCCTGAACTCCCCACAGGCTCTCATCTAGCACAGACACAGGCACTGGAACAAGGAAGAAAAAGAAGCTGTTTCACTGTGCAACTAATACAGATCTTAGTATGAATCTCATCTGAGCTGAAAGAAACACCCTGTTGTGTGGTCACAGTAGGTCAGACCAGCTAATGCAGGGGGATGCAGTGCATTTTTACACTATTTTACACTATTCTGGACAACAAGCTTTGGGAAGTGTTTCTGGAGGTTAAGCCAACCTCACAGTGCTGGCCCCAAAAATATTTAATGCATGCTCTTCTCAAAAAAGGTGTTTTAAGGGAGTCTGGATTGCAATCTGAATGCAAGCAGCTTCTTTCAGCTCTCCATAGAGAGCCTCTCCAGAGGCAGTGCAAGCAGATCAGGCAATTCAAGAGGCATAAGGTAGCCCTGGTAAAGTCTCAGCCCTCAGCTTGCTCCTTAAGCCAAAAATAAAGAACATGTCAGCAAAACCATTGCATGTTCACCTGGTAAGTTTCTAATGCCATTTGTCAGAGCAGTGGCTGCCACCAATGCACACCACAGCCCTCTCCCTGGTTTGTGCCACCACCAGCTGCTTCTTGCATTACAAAATCTGGAAGGGATGGACCCTGAAACCAGAGAAGCAGCAAACAAGGACCACAGCAGAGCAGGACAGGCTGCTCACCAGAAGTCCCTCCAGCACCTAGGAGATGACAGATTTTCTGGGCACTCAGAAAGCTTACATAAGCACATGCATTTGCACAATGTGCAATGAACCACTGGCCCTGCTCTTTTGACAAGGGCACGTAGTGATGGGACAAGAGGTAATGCCTTTAAACTGAAAGTAGATTTAGATTAGATACTAGGAAGAAATTCTTTTCTGTGAGCATGGTGAGACACTGGAACAGGTTGTTCAGACAGGTTATAGATGCTCCATTCCTGGAAGTGTTCTAAGGCCAGGTTGGACAGGGCTTTGAGTAATCTGGTCCAGTGGAAGGTGTTTCTGCCCATGGCAGGGGGCTTGGAATTCAATCTTTAAGGTCCCTTCCAACGCAAACCATTCTGTAATCCTATGACAGCACATGAGACTATGAGAGCACCATTTCCTCACATCTGACATTCAGACCTGAGAGGCCTAAAACAGGGGGTGCACCTCTCCCTTGCCCCTGCTAACTCACAGCAGTTGCAAGGGAAGCAGCAGCACATGTCCTCGCTCCAACCCACTGCTGGAATCACAAGCAATCCGCCAGGCTGTTACACCCTTACAAAAGGGCTTGGCAGAGCAGCTTCCCAGCCAAGGCTAGGTTTGTATCAGGGGCTAAAGATCAAGCTGTATCTATCTCTGAACACACCTTTGTTAGTTTTGGCTACACCTTTTCAGGTATCACCTGCCTCCCCAGGCAAACACGTTCCTATCCCGGGCGCCACAGGCCTGCTGCTCTTGTCCAACAGCTGCATCCACCTGCCAGGAATCTGTGCACCTACTGCATCCACATCAGCAGCCAGCAGCCAGGGAAGGAGAGCCCCAGCACTAATATGGCTGCAGCAAGGATGTTGCAGGGAGCAGAGAAAGGAGCTGGAAGCAGATTCATGGTCAGGCTGCTGCTTGGTTTTGCTGGAAACTGGAGTGGAAAACTGGCACCGGCATCCATCCACCCCAACAAACATTGCATTCATATGCAGAGCTGCAGAGCAAACGATCTGTCAGTTGTTCATCTGGAGAACAGGTTTCACCAGCCTGGATTAAATGATTATGTTGCCACAGCATGTGCTTCTGGCTGCTCTTGGAGATAAAGGAAGAAAGGCACAAGCAGCCTGACCCTAAAACCCAGCTCCCAACACCTTTATGCGTGGAGAAGGTTCAGACCAACACAGAGAATGGGAGATGGGGAGCAAGTGTGTTTAGAAGGATGAATTTTGGTGCTGATGCGCTGAAATTGCTAATGTGCAAGAAAACACCTCATTCGATTGAGAACAGAAGGTGCACACTTTACCTCCAATTACTGTCTCCAGATGTGCACCAGACTGGCTGTATTTCTGAGCCTGCTGCTCCTCGCTCCCACAAAGCTGCAGGCAGAGCGAGTGCAGTTGGAGGTCTAACAGCACATGTGCAGCTCCACCAGAGCCTGAGTCCTGCCTCCACAAAACCCCCGTTGAGTGACTCCCTTAGGATGTAATTGCAGTCGACTTCATTCCAGGCCATGAGCATATGTCTGGCTACGGACATTACTGCAAGCACACAAGGGAAAAAAAAAAAAAAAAAGAAACATAAAGCAGAAAGTGAGAAAAAACACTGGTAATCCAAGCTCAGCTAGGATAATGGATGTTTTCCTCCATAGAAAAAGGTTACTTCGCTACCTTTGTCAGTCTGGCCAGCTTCCCTGCATTAGTCTTTTGCAAGGCAGAAGAGAAAGGCTGACACCAGCTTTGCAGACTCAAAACCAAAATATTGCACCAAACCCATGGGCCCCAGCAACAGCCCCTGAATCCCTCTGGAGCCCACAAGGGTAAAATGCAGAGCTAAACCAGCAGTCACAGACTTCAGAGAGCCCTGAAACTTTGTAGCAGGGAGCCCAAGGCATTTTTCCCACTCTGTGGCCTCTGATGGGTTCACCCTCATCAAAGTTCACCCCATGTCCCCGTCTCTCAGGGGATGATATATCTGTGGTGGGTGCAATGAAAGGTGCAGGGATGCAGTCACAGCACAGTGTGGGCAGTAGGGGCTGGAGCCACCACCCTCTGCCCCCACCATGTTTCACAAGATGAGCAGTAGCAGCAGCACTGTTGCTTTCATATTTGCCTTTTTTTTTTTTCCCCCTCAAAAAGTAGAAACCCATGCTCTGAGCAGTGGGAGCTGTTACAAACACTGCTCTGGGGAGAAGTCCCTACAAACAGCCTGCAGCAAGCACCCAGCACCCAACACTCCCAGCTCAAGCACCCGCAGGCTGGCAAATCCCTGAGCCATCCAAAGCAAGGTCTTATCAACGGGAAGTGCCAGCCAGGCCTAAGCAACACTGAGCTTCCCTCCCCACCTCCAGTGGCCATGAGAACACATAGGATTTGTCCATCTGGGATGGCTCCCAGTCAGGCATTTATGTTTATGGCTCATGGACAGGTTTTTAAAAATACATTCCAGTGCATGCACGGGTGTACTCCAAGATACACTTATATCCACAAGCACATGACCCAGGAGGTGGGTTAGAGCTGAAGTGACTCAGCCTCCCGGTTACAGGAACAAAATTAGCAACCACTCATAGACGCCTTATGTCTTAGATGGGGCTAGATGGCACTGTAAGTTAGTTAATGTCCCTTTGCCTCAGGAGATTTCACTTTGGCAATAAGATCAGTGGAAAACCAGGAAAGCTGGTGCTCCCTAGGGTGTATTTTCCAGAGCCGGGCTAGTAATTCACAACAACAGCCTGATTCAACACATTTTTAAGGTACCTAGTTAGGAGCTGTGTCCAATAATTTAGTCATTCTCTGGAATTTACTTTTTTATTTTTGAGAAAATAATTCTTGGCTTGACAGCATTTAAACATATGTTTTCTCCAAATACTTGGCCTACATTTTCCCTTCTTTAATTTATCCCATTTCTCCTCATTAACCCCTGCCCCCCCACCCCCGTTGTTCCCATGCTGGATCCCTCTACCTCTCCTGGGAGAAAAGTGATGAAATGACATTCGCCTCCCAGACCTCCTGGCACATCACCCCTTCTCTTCAGGATCAGCCCAGCGGGGCAAAGAGCCCTTTGGCCCGGAGCCCCTGAATCACTTAAGGATGCACAGCTGAAACGGAGCAAAGCGAAGTGGTGGAGGGAGGCGAGGACCGGCCTGGGAGGGATAGTGCCTGGCTGTATTCAGGTCAGAGCATTCCGGTCCCACGGCCTCGGGTGTCTGCCTGAGCTGGTTGGGAGACGAACGAGTAAGGATCTGCCCTGATCTCACACCCAGACCTTCCAGAGCCTCTGCACTCCGGCGAGCACGCTGCGGCTGATGGCACCGCGCCACCGCAAGGGAACGGCACCCACGTGGCTGGGGAGGAAGAGGGACGTGCAGTCCTGGTGCAGCACATCTGCCCCTGGGGCTGGGAAGAGGGCGGCCACCTCTTTAACAGAGACCCTATCGGTGCATCTAGCACTCCGATGGGTATCTCTCTCCCATCAGTTAACAAAGGGAGCAACCCTCTAGGGGGAGGAAAAAAAAAAAAAAAGCACATCAAACCCCCAAAACCCCCAAAACACTCTTCCCAGCACAGGATCCCATCAGCTTCCTGGTCGCCTGGGTCATTCATGCCTGTGAATCGTTTCCTCAAGTAACAGATTAGTCACGTACATTTGCAATGGCAGCGATTCTGCCACATAGCTGAGGAGCCGGGCAGGAGAACAGCAGCATGACAAAAAACAAGCAGAGAGGAGAAACAAAACTTTTCTTCCTTTTCTCCCATGGCCCTTTGGTTTTCAACAGCGTTTGCATGCATAAGCTGCTGAGCAGCTGCACCACGTGGCGGTGAAATCCAGGCGTTATCTGGCCAGAGACTTGGACAACTCCGTCTTTCCTTTTTCATCCCCGGGCTGGCAGAAGCATTGCCTAGCAGCCAGAACACTGACAGCTTCTCTAAGGTTGGGACCAAAAGCCTCCTGTAGCAGGAACAATGTTTGGCAGCTGGGAGAATAAGTTGAGCTCCCGTCTTCTGAGTGAGTGACAAATGCCAGAGCCCGGCAGGGCTGACATCGGCTCGGGGCTGCAAAGTGTCCCGCTCAGATGCAAGTCACTCGGAGAAGAAAACGAACAGGTAAAGGTCCCCAGAAGCTCCTGATTAGTATGCGGCTTACTGCAAACAGTTACTTTCTTCTTCCAATAACAGGCATGAAAAATCACGGTTGTCATTAGAGCAGCAGCGCATGGAGCTGTGAGCAGGTCAGGCTGCTCCTCTGTGCTGCGCATGCTGTGTCAAACTGCCCCTGTCCCGAAAACCTTCCAGCCACAAATGCCCTGGTAGGTAACAAAGAGGGAGATTCAAAGCAAGAACACCTGAGTGATCCAGTAACGGGAGAAAAAATGCAGGCTGTTTCGGGTCATCTGATTTGTGTGTACATTCCCAGACACTCAGTCTGTCCCTTGTAGTTCAGGGAAATGGTAAATGGGCAACATGGCCTGGAGAAACTGTAAGGAGGGGAAAAGCAGATGAGTGCCTGGGGGAAAGCTGATGAGCTGGTTTTCAAGACAAGCGTTACTACTGCAGTAAGAGATAGGGACACATGTAGGCGTTCCCTGTCTTGGTAATAAATAACAGCTACAAAACTCTTATTAACCTCTGTAAAATACGTTGGCTCTGCCAGTCCATTCATCACAAATCTATCTGTTACTGTGGTACTCACTTCAGCTGTCCCAGATAAAGACAGAAAACACAGCAGGACGGCCACAGCATCCCACATCCCAGCCAAAGGAAGTCACAATTGCAAAGGATGCATCCTTGTTGTCATAAAAATGATGCTCCCCTCTTGTATCCTCTGGCTTTCTGCACTGAAAAAGGAGACTAAAATACAAGCATCACTTCCGAGACAGGAACTTCACCATAACACAAAATAAAGAAACTAAAAAAAAACTACCTCAGGAATCTTCTACCTTTCCCTCCTAGGAACAAGCAGCCCTGGGGCTTGGCCTGAGCATCTGGCCCAGTGAATTTACTTGCAGTCCGAAGAAAGCCTGGCTCCATTCATCAGCAGGGATGGGAAGCACCAAGTCTCTTCTCCTCTCACCATCCCACTTCCTGGAGGGGAATTTGGAAGCAAGTGGCCTGACAGTGTTGAGAGGAGTTCTGTCCCATGCGCTGCCAGGCTTCCCACGCTGTCCCATTTCAGAAGCAACATGGGGAGGAGGGGGAAATGCATAAATCAGAGCTCTGATACTTGGCACTACACCAGGACATAGATTAGACTACTCAATCATTTTAATTGCTACCCAACAGTAATAATCTGTTTAGGTGATTTACTCAAAAAACATGCATAGCACTTTGGTATGTTTATAATGCTAATTGGGAAGGTCTTGAACCAAACAACCACCCTGGGTAGCAAAGCTGTGTATTTGGGGAGATTTATTTGGTTAGCTGTTTTCAGAACTTCACTAGAATACTGTTTTTCTTAGCTTTTTTTGCTTCAACATATATATTTTTGTCTATTTACTTGTCAATCTCATGTATTTGGCAGACATAAAAAAATGCAGAGCAGTAGCCAAAATTACACACACTTCCTATGCAACACAGGGTTATTCTTCCATGTCTTGTTTCTGCCCTGCATATTTAATTTTGTACTCCTGTGAGGACTTAGGTGCTCAGGAAGAACCCCATTTTTAGAATTACCAGACCTAAGTAGCCACAGCTACATAAATGAGGAGTATGTCAAGACCTGAGAGGAGCCAATGGTTTTACTAGGTCATCAGTTAACCCACACAGCCAGGAGTGCAGGGTGTCAGTGAAGGAGATAATCCACCTCCAAGATAGATCCCAGCATGCCTCCATGGGAGTTTTGTGCTTCACAGAGGCACTTTGCTCTCCCTTAAGAAAGATGGCACATCAGAAAAAGTTTCTCCCACTTTACCTGCACTGTTAGCACCAGTGTTATTGCAGGTAGGTACTGGGAAGGATGTGTTGGGTATGCAGAAGCTGTTACCTACCATATACTGAGCAAAGCCACAGGGGAAAAAAAAAGGTACAGCCTCGGCTCTGGCTGTGTTTATCCTACATGTCAATGAACAATAAAAACAGGGCACTGAAAAATAAACCTCACTGCTTCAAAAAGCCCCCAGGAGAGTATCTTCAATGGTATCATATTTTTTCTGTTTCTTTCTGATCCTTTTTTTACTGTTGAAGTTGACATCTTTTTCCTCTTGCTGAACCAGCATTTCCTGACAGCAAACCGTAGTCAGAATTTTTCCATCCAGGCCTGAAGTGGATTTCAACATTTGGTGCTTGTGCATGCTCATAAAAAGAGGTTAATGTCAATCTCAGAAAATTATCTACATGACGTTCGAAAGAGTACCAAGTGAGGAACAGCACCTGCATTTGGGGAAGTCCAGACACTCTCTTGTTTCTTTGCCTGAGTTGGGGTCAGCTCTTCTCTGCTCTCTCTCACATTTGTAATGGTGATCCTCCTTTGCATGTTTACAGCTCAACCAGCCTGTCACTTGGGGAAAATAATCCTTCCATGGGGAACACTGTCTTTCGTGACACAGCACATCCCCTTTCAAACGCCCTGGGGACATTCTGATGGTTTTGAAACCAAACATCTTGGAAAAGTGCAGTGCTCTCCCAATAAACAGCAGCACAGTCGGGCCTCAGAAGGCAAACAAGCAAGGCAGGAGCTTGTGGGAGGAGATGGTAATAAATACAATAGTCAGCTTCTTAATCACCATCCCCAGTGCCTGATAACCATTACCTTGTTTCAGCTACCCTGTGCTTAACAGTGACAGGACAGCCCTCCACATTTGGAGGACTTTAGCCAGCAAAATCTCCTCAGGGATGAACAAGCACTGAGCTGTAAACACACCCAAGAACTTTTAAAGGTTCAAAAAAGAAAATCTATTGTGCTGTGAGAGTCATCAGGCACGAGGCAGCCTGGGTACAGCAGCCTCCAGTTGCGGCAGTTTCACTCAGCAACTCTGAGTCAAGGCTTTTTTTTGGAAACAGGGATGGACACCGTGAAAACCAGCCTGTCCTGGCTCAGAATTCCTGCCTGCAGGGCACTCAAGCCAAAGCTGTCTTAATATGCTTTTAAAAGCAGGCAAATGACAAGCAAGGCATCATTTCTTTCAAAGCCTGGCACTCCTCCTCCACTGAGACATCTAGGGCTGCTATCGTCAGCTTAAGGGGCAATAACTTCACCAGGAGGCAAAGCTGGTTTATGAGGGGGAGGAGGAAGAGTTAAAGCAAACTCATCAACCCACCAGTGTCATCAACCAGCAGCTCTGAGCACACTCTCACGGGGAAGCAGCGGGGAGACACGACATCCCGGCAACATGTCCAAGAGAGGATGTGTCCTAAAGGACACAGCTGATTCATCATCCCGCTTAGGAATCTCGGGCAGTTTCAGCTGCAGAGGCCTGACCTGCTTGGCAGCCAGCCGGCCGGCATCAGCTGCCTCCTGGAAAAGGGAAAGAAAAAATAAAAAGCTTTGAAACGACAGAGTGGGCAGAGGAATGGGGAGGAGGGGAAAGGAGGGAGTGTGGGGTGGAAGAGGTGGCCTTGCAGGCTCTGGTTGAGTAAGAGGCTAATTCCCCCCCCCACTCCCCAACCACGACTCCCATCTAATTACCCTGTTTCCTCTGAGCTGATTGGAAAGTGGCCTTGTGTCTGGAAAAGGCAGTAAGCATCTTACATGCATCTGTTCCACCTAATCCCTAATAACTAGTGCCTGTGTGTTCCGGGAGAGGAGGAGGAGGAGGTGGGGGAGGATGGGCAGGGAAGGGCTGGGAAGGGTTTCCCATGTAGGCCGCTGTGTGGCAGAGGGCAGGGCGGCCTTGTGGCCTGGGCTGGGGGCTTTCAGGGAACTAACACTGTTCCTCTTCCACCTCTTTCACAATCTGGAGGCCCTTTCCTCCTTCCCCTTGCAATAGTAACATATCTTATTTACAAAAAAAAAAAAGAAAAAAAAAAAGAGGGCTGTGGCTGGGAATAAGGACACATTTTGCTGAGCCTTGCTGCAGTTGGGATCTGTTTAAGCCACTCGTTTTCCCCTTGCCCTAATCCTGCATTATCCTTTAGGCATGACGTTCAATTCCTGAAGGGGGGTGGGAAGTGCTCTCCAGGGCCCTGCCTGGTTTGCCCAGGAATTTGGATTGCACTTTTTATGTGCAGCTCCGGGAAGGGGCAGAGGGACAATTATGCAGCCGTTTAGTAGCCAGGCAGGCACATTTTCAGCGAGCTCTTCCTAGTGGGAGCTGATTCAACTCGAAGAGAGCACAGGGATAAACATCTCCATTTGCCAGTAAAAGGATTGTCACATCTGGAATTTACACGAGTTACGAGGAGCCAGGAGCCACTATTTCGTTTCACTTGCTTGGTGCCATAAAACGTGTTAGCACTTTAAAAGTGTTGCGGGGCAGATGGATGCAGGCGGACGACGACTCCCACAGCCCTGCCATGCCCCTGCCCTCCCCTGCCACCATCGGGGGACTCAGACCAGACTCAGCCCTGCATCTTGCTCAATGCTCTCAACTTTGCTCCAACCCCTGGGAAGGGAGGCTTTTGGCTTCCAGCTCTGCCAGCTGGCCTCTCTTCTCCACGTTATAATCCCAGGAGGCTGGGAGAGGGACCCACTGTGCCCTCCGCACACCTCACAGGGAGTGCCAGCCTTCCCCTCAGGCTCAACCCACATGGAGGAGGACTCAGTAACTGGTCGCTTTAAACCAGTTTCAAAAAGGTTGGCTGTGCCTCTGTGGGCTGTTTATTTTCCAAGAGCTTTCCACATTTATCCAGCCAGTTTTCCACTGTTTTGCTTTTGGATTTTTGCAGTTGCAAGCTCTGAGCGCTCCTCCTTGCAAGAGCCTCCGCACTCATCCCTCAGCACTCTAATGGTGCCAGAGGTGGTAATGGGCTCCATGGGCTGACTTCCCATAGGAAGCCCCTGTCCTTACCCCAGAAAAACACTGGGAAGAATCCTGAAAAGAGCGGTGGGATATAGGCATCCACAGTCTGGACCCATCCCATCCAGTAACAGTAGACATAAAAATTAAGGGGAATAAGACGAAGTCAATGGCCTTTTGACCTTTGGCACTTCACATCTGCATGCAGGCCGTAAGGGTGGGCAAGGCAAAAGCCTACAGTCCATATTTCCCAGTTTGTTTTTTCTCTCACTTTGTCTCATGGAGCAGTGGTTACCCAAGAAACCTCCTGCCTGCTGATTTTTGTTAGGGAGTGAGCCACACTGGGTGGAAAAACCAGAACAAGCACAAAAGTCATCTCTTGGCCCACTGTGCTGTTTGTGAAACACCGTGCAGAGAGGTAAAGGCCTTCAGGTTACTGTGTGGAAACCCAGCTGTGATTTACACCTCCTCTTCATCCTCCCTCCAAGGGACAAAGGGCTGCCTTGGGGATGCTCACTTCACCCAGCATCACTGCTCACTTTGCTGCTTGCTGGCAGGGCACAATCCTGGCTTTTGTGAGTCATCCACCCAGCCCACACAGTACGGGATCCACAGCCTGGAGTCCCACCAGTGCTCACACAAACCTGTCGGGGAGCAAACCTCATGCCAGGGACAGCTGCCCTGCAGTGGAATGCACAGCAGTAGCCCTGCAAGGGTGATGGGAGATGGAGAGAGTTGGCTGCCTTCTGCTTGAGCTCTCTCTCGTGACTGACCAGAAAAGTGAAGTGAAAGAGCGCAGCAGGAAGCTGCAAGGTCACACTTTGCTTCTTGTGTTGTCCAGATCCTTCTGCAGAGCCTTCCTATCCTCCAATGCCTAATTCATCCTATGTCATTCTAACTAAACATAAAGCCCCTTGAGGTAAGATGGTGCAACTTTCCCATGAGTACAGGCTCTGACACTGTAAGATTAGCAGCTGAAAGAAAAAAAACAAAAAAAAAAACCTTAAAAGTGTCCTCAAAACCTCCATCTTTAGGTAACAGATAAGTGGCATAAACACTCAAAGTAATGTGCCCACAACCACAGGCAGTTTTCTGTTAATTCAGGCTGAAGTACTCCGAAAAGGGAGGTCACCTTCCTCCCAAGCTGCACAGATGATTTCAGGGAGGAGCTGTGACCACAGGTGTCCCAGTAGCACAGACTTGCCTGAATGTGTGAGTGTTGGGATGGGATATAAACAGTAGCAAGTAGATGGTGTTTTAGGAGGAAAAAATATCAAATTTATGGCCAGAGGTTGTACTTACAGTTAAAACTGCAGCCTCACCACCTACCCCTCAATATTCCTACCAGCCTTGCCACAATGGCTCCAGCCCTCTGAACACCTTTTCCACAGCCTGGTCATTGCACCCTCAGGGAAAAAACATCCAAACAGGCCAACCTGTTCCTCAGAGGACACACTAACATCAACTCTGCTCCCCAGCTACACCTCCAAATAACAGGAGCTGCAGAGGGGGAAGAAGGAAGAAAATATGTCTTGAATAGATCTCCTCTATTAAAGAGCCAGCACAGGAGGAGATTTACTTGCACTATAGTACCAAATACTGCCAGAACTTACCTAGCATTTATCTGCAGAGCTGGGAGGAGAGCAGGGAGGTACAGCCACCTAGGCTTCCCTCAGTTAGTGCCTGTAGCAAGAGCAAGTGCTCGCAGTTCAAGAGCTGTGTCTGATGGTTCTGCGCTGTACATAGAAGTGTCAATCAGTTCTTCAATAGCTTGCATTCTTTGAGATCCCTTTGAAAGCCTATTTAAGGGTATCTAAAACAACATAGGTGTTTGCATGACAAATTCCACATGCTGCATACACAGATGTGGTTTTCAAAAGTGCTAAAGGAATAAATTCACTGAATCCTGCTTCATGTTCTGCATATGGCACCATGCTTCCAGCCTAGAAGGAAATAAAACAATCACTACATTGTATGATATGGGTTAGAATGAAGTGGCTGTTTTCTACTCTGCTTTTGCTAAGCTGCTGTCTTTCCAGGATGAAACCTTCATATTTGGGAATACTGGGCAGATTTTTTCTAACACCTGTTCTCTGGAGAAAGTCTGTAGCTTCTCAAAGATGGGCCGTGGATACAGCATCTTCATGGTCACAACCCACTGAAGGGCATTTGTTATCACCCATCCCAGCTGAGCTAATTAATCCTTAATAGTAATGGCTTACTTTAATTGTCTGAACTCTGTTAAGGCAGGACCTAGTGCTCTTAACTCCTCTAATTCTAGGAGCTGGATTTTCAGCTCGCTTTACGGTTTGTTTTTTCTCTTTCACTCTTGCACTGTCTTTGCACTAAATCACATACCACAGACCACACCTTGGGAAAACCCATATCTTTAGGCCCCTGTCCTAGCCTAGGAAAAGGCTGATTTTACATGAAAGATGACCTTACTTTGAAGGTGTCCCTTCCACCCAAAGTGTCTATGAGATAAAGGCATTATACCGCTTGAGTGGGGATAAGCGGAGTCGAAGCTGCGTGAAGCTGGGCTGAGCCAGAGCATGGCCAGGGCACTTGGCTCCCCTTGGAAGAGCCTGGAGATGCCTGGCTGGGAGCTAATGTCTGTCCATCTCCTTTGGGGCTGTTGATAGCATTGAGCATAAAATAATGTCACATTAATGGGCTTGGGGACAGAGTGACCGCTCCTGAAAGTCTGAGCCAAAAGTGCTCACCCTGGGCTAAGTAGCAAGTGAACTGGCAGAAGAACAAGCCTTCATTCTCCTTGATAGGTCTCTTCTTTACACAGGGTCCATGGTAAAAACTTATCTGCTGCAACTTTATAAAACAATTATACCATTAGATTTCAGAAAGCACCTGCAGAATCCAGTTAACTTACCACACCAAAAAACAAACAAAAAAACAAGGTACTTCAGATGGAAAGATAAAATTATGACATTGTTTTCAAGGGTGAAGCCTTTATGGTTTATAATTAAATATAACCCTCTATTTGCGCTATTAACCAAACTTTAATGGAAATCCTCGAGAACTTTACTTAATACTCTTTGATGGTAAAATGTAAATAAGGCATTTTTAAAGCAGGTAACAAACTTCTTTTGCAAACAACAGAAGGCATTTTGCCCACACCACAACTGTTACAGCTGATCCAACTGAGGGGCCAGGAAGACACAAACTGTACACTTTTCCCTTTCTATAGGAACTGGTGTAAATCAGGAACAGTTCAACTGGTCATTAAGCATAAGAGAAACACAGGGGTTTGCTGTGGCTGTAGCACATTCAGCTATGGCTTTATATTTAAATATCTTTACAATATCTTTCGCATTGGTGCTTGGGGACTCCCAGACAGTCAGAGATGCAATTAGATAAAAGAGGCTATTTGACTTTTCATCCTTATTCCTTCCTGCCTTGCTTTTGTGGGTTTAAAGCACAATCTTTCGACTAATTAAACACATTTGAATATTCTGTTGCATGTGCAATGAATGTATAATTAGACTCAAGAGAAAGATTATGTGCTTTCGAGCTGACACTAACACTTCAGCATAAAGGTACCCCAGGCACCACTAAATGTAACCTATGAGCTCCTGCTAATAGCACGCTGCCTCTGATCTCCAAAGGATTATCTTACTCTGTAGCTCTTATAGGAGCTGTATACTGAAAGGGGCCTGAAACAGATACCCTGTAATTTACATCTCTGCTTAGTGCCTCAGTGAGGAAAGGCAGCCTTTGCTCCAAATTGTGTTTCTTTCCTACTCTGCTTTTCAGGTCTGAAGTTAAGGCACATGATCTTCAGGGTGCAGAATGCTTTAAGGAAACTCTGTGTGGTTTCAGGGAAGAACATGTCATTTTTTTCCCGTACTTTTTTCTTTTTTTTATTCATGTTCAGTACCACTTTTTTCCTCTATTAACACAGAGAAACCTCTTAAATAAATTATACTAGACTAAAATCCCATCTCTCTGCTCCAAAATTAAAGATGTCTGCTGCTTTATTCTCACCAAGCACTACCTCCTAGTGCTATTATTTACTGTATCTCATAAATATCAGGGTCCATTTCCTTTTCTCTACTTGGCACTTTTCCCATCAATTTTACTCTGCTGCATTTTGTTTTTGTTGTTGTTTTTTAACAGAGGTTACCCTCCCAGCCACCACATGATAGTGATATTTTTTTCTTTCCCTTTTTGTGGTTGGACGAGCTCAGACAACTAGATAAATATTGTGGGGAGCTGACCCTTAAATACCAGGTTTGCCTGTATTTTTTCACAGAGATCCTTATTTCCTTAAGTTGTAGGTGGTCTCCCTAAGACAGCAGGGAGACAAACCTGGTGTAATGAAAGGAGGGGAAAAAGAAGAAGTAGAAAAATCCCCTTAGGATGTTTCCTGTGGTAAAAGAGAGTAAAAAATATTTTCAGAAACAGTAATTAATATTTTAGGGCAGCTCCAGAAAAATTCAAATCCAAATCTTCTGTGGGGTTCAGTGAACTCTGTAAATGGTATGTTTCCTCCAAAACCCCAAGCCAGGCAACTTGACCCTGATTTTGGAGTGAGTAATGGGGATCTGGCATTTCTGTACCCCTTAGCAGTTGTGAAGAGGATTGTGTGCGTTTTTTTAAGATGTCTGTTTTTTCAGAGTAAAGTTTGCTTAAAAAAACAGTGGGCTAGCTACTGAAAGTCAGTCCATATCAATTATTGTCAGCCACAGATCCAGATGAGGGGCAAAGCTCCTTTACCAGCAGTATAGCTTTAGTGTAAGCAAGCTGCAAATGTCTTCTTATCCAAAAAAGTAAATGATACTTGGACAGGCCAGGAGATAACAACAGGCATGCAGCCTCAATGTCAGCAATACCTGTGACATTGTTAGCATTACCCTTGGGTTAGCATGGCAAATCACACTGTGCCATTGCAGTTTGGTCCCTTTTCCCTAGGGTCAACCCCTCTAAAAAATTTCCTTCAGCAGGAGACTGGCTTACATTTTGTTGTTGTTGTTGTTGTTTACACTGTCAGTAGGACATGTCCTCTGCTGGCACTGAGGAGAAATGTGCCAGAGAAGATGTAGGACCTCTGTCAGTGTATTTGATCCCTGGATTTCATCACACATAAGATGCTTCACTGCAACTGCTTTGCTTTACCCCTTGCTCAACAAGAAAGAGGTACCCAGACTTCAGAGCTTTGTATCTGTGCCCAAACTTCAAGGCTGACATACCTCACATCGAGAATGAAGTGCAAAATCTTCTTTACTGTTCCAAAAGCATGCAGTTTGGAAAGTTTAGGGATGAAGCAGGTGCTCAGCTAGGGAGAACTGTGTGCTGGTCCCAGTTTATCTTGGCCAGCTCCAAACAAAGCTGCTCCTCTCCCTGGGCCATAGGTAGTCAGGTTGGCCCCACTGACACCTTTCTGCAGCCCACCCCCAGCCATGGTGGAGCTGCTCCATGCCACTCATTGTTCTCTGCTTGTGAGGCTTTCAGGGTTGCAGGTTCTTGACACAGGGCATCTCCTGAGACCCTTCTTCACTTTCCTCAAAGCCCTTTTCTATTGGGAAGGAAACCCCAAAGTATCTGCCTACTCACATGGAAACATACCATGTATCTCAACTGGAGCTGCTGAGCCAGATTGCTAAACTTAATTACCAGTTCCAAGGGCTGAGACAGTGAATGACAGGTCAATTCATGCAGTGAGCTAGCAAAGATTGCTGATAAATGCTTTCTAATTGAAAAGATGATAAAACAACTATTAGTCACTGAGGAGCTTGAAGAATGAGTTAGTCCTGGGGTTTTTTACACTATGAAGAGCAAGAAGTGCTAATCTCATCAGCACTCTGTTGTCATTTCCTACCAGCCTAGTCACTCAAAAGGTCCAGGAGGGATCATGAGTGACATTGCAGAGGAGTGACCAGTTACTGCTCCCCCAGTCCTGTTAAGGAGATTGAATAGAAATAGTCATTACCAACGTGGATAGAGTCTATTGTACTCTGGAGAACATCAGACATTTCTGTGAATCAGGGAAAAATCAAAGGATTTTGAACAAACAAAAATAACCTCTTGCACACAGCTCTCTTGGGACATCAGCAGTGTTAACAACACGATGTATCCTTTGCAGAGCACTTTTCAGCCCGAAGTGTGAGATGGAGGCTGCAGCATTAGAGGTCCAGGTACTCGAGGTGCCGCTCCAGCAGCAGCAATGATCTGCTGCATACAAGCAGTTTGAAACTCGGGAGGCTGAACTTTGCCCTAGAAAAACCTCTACACAGGCACATGTACCTGTTTGTCACTCAGGCATTAGGACAGTCACTCTGGCAGCAGGGCACAGCAGTCATACAGGATGAGAAATACTCTTAGGTTGTCACATCATGAAAAGCCAGCAGAGCTGCCCTGCAAAAGCCCTATGCCTAGACATGACCCAAAAGTTACCTTCTGCAGCATTAAGTGACACAACACTGGCTGCTGGGAAGGCAAGAAAACAGCCACCACCCATTAGCAGGAACCTCAGCTGCCTTGCTTCCATGCTGTGCAACCCTGGATTATTTTTTTTTTTGCTGCTGCTTCTCTTTCCTTTCCTCTTTTGCAGGTCTTTCTAGACCAGGAGATGTTCAGAGTGAGACTACCAGCGTACTTGCTCTGTGCCTAACACAAAGGGCTACAGCCCTAGCTTAAGCCTCTGGGTACTGCTGTCACATAGATAATCATCCACGACACTTGCACACGCCACACTGCTGAAATGTAGCCATGTTAGAGGTGAGCTTGGGATGTGGCCAAGTGACACAAGCCACAGAACACGTATAAAGTGAGGTTTTGCCAAAGGCAAAAGGTCAAGGCATTTTTGCACCCTTAAGAAACAGACCTCACTTTTTGTGTTAGGACGTGCCTTACTTTCCCCTTTCTGCCTCGCCAAAATCCACACAGAGTTCTTACTACATGGTATTTAATATCTGCAGTGTGAAGCCTGACATTTTCCAGGAGGTTGCAGCACTCCCAAAACTGTATTTTCCATGTTAACAGATTTGCTGTCTCTCCATCAAAATTTGGGTATATTCTTTCAACAAAGAAGCCCATTTTGCATGGAGAGGAGTGTGGCTGGCTGGTGCATCTGAGTAGATATTGACATGAGGGGAGAGAGACAATACTTACACTAACCAGTGTGTGAAAGTAGCCCAACGATGGCACAGTAACTATGCTTGTATTTATGGATTCAACTAGTTTGTAAAACTCTAAGACCCTGTTCTTTTAATTTCAGATCTCCAAACTCTTGAAAGTTCAGATCGGTCTCGATCAACTCATTTTTGTTGTGCTCAGTATGCTTTGCCTCAAGTCAAAAGCCCCTGGCGACAAACAGACACCTTCTTCACAGTCAGATGTGCAGGTAGGTATTTTGACAGAGCTGCATGATGCAAGTCAGATCAGCAGCTCTGCCAGTAAAATCTTAGAGATGTAACTTGCCAAGGAGGGACATGACAAAGCATTCTTCCAGCAACTGTGTCCAAAAGGTGTATCAACCAGGGGTATAGTGACTAAAATATTATATTAACATTTAAACCAAGAGCCTCATGTAGTGCCTGGCCATGAATGAAGGTCACCTTGGGCCACTCACTTTATACCACATCTCAGACCTGATCTCCATGTACTCTCCATGTTATAATTATGGATCAAATATAGTTATGCATATATAAGTATGCATCAAATATACATCAGTTTAGTTCATGCAGTCTCTAAGAGTACTGTCCCTTGTTGCACAGGAACCTATGTTGGTATAAAACTTCTCTTTACTGACTAAGTAAAATATATTCCTAGAATGTATTTATTTATGGAAATTTTCATTTTTTTTTATTTATACTTATATAAATATTTTATCTTAGGGATACACTGTGCTGCTCCACATCCCTACAAACTACTATGTGCCCATTCTCAGTGTAAGATTTTCTACTGGTGTTTGGAAAAGCATACCTGCTGAAGCCCAGTCTGTGGTTGTGTGAAGTAACCTTCAGTATAACTCCCAATAAAGGTTCCCCAGCCATTTTCACACATACTGTGGAATAAAAGAAACATATATCAATGCCACAGAAGCTTTTCTCCCTCACTCCATGTTTCATGTTTTCACCATCAGTGGACATCCTTTGGATCAAAGACTGCTGTTTGATCCCAGGAAAAGGTTAACAGTCTCAGCAGTGCTTATGCAGTTGCTCCAAATGGCCTACCTAGGGCTGCACTACAAATCAGATCAGGCAAATTATCCCCTTTTTTTTTTTTTTTTTTTTTTAGTAAAAAAATATTTAATTTTCAGGGTGTCTTTTTTTTCTTGAAACATTTTTTTTTAAGCCAGCTGCAGCTGCATCCTCCATCTCCTCAAGCCACAACCTGAATTAGCATCCATTTAAATTAATAAGACAGATATCCCAAGTTTTATGTTTCATGCTTACAGCCAAGGTGAGCAGATGTGATGCATGTTTACAAATGCAGAGACATTTTGGGAGTTGCCCTGTTTGATGTCTGGACTTGTTTTGTACACACTCCTCATATTGCTGCAAGTTCTTGGAGAAGGATCCTTCCATGGTGACTTTTTAAAATGAAATAAAATTAAGCCTCCTTTTGTTTAAGTCAAAGGGAACTTGGCTTAAATTTTTTTTTCTTTTTTTTTTTTTCCCCAGTTGCAAGATATCTCTTTAGCTTTTATCTAACTATGTCATCAGTAATTAGGCATGTAAAGGAAATCAATCTCAACAGGGATGCAAGATGTAAAACCTGCCAGTAAGCAGTAGATAACAGTTCTTTTTAAACACAAACTCTTCAAAATTATGCTTATTAGTGGAATACAGTCTCTGAGTCAAACTCCCAGATAACCTAACAATAATTAATTTTGTTGAAAAGAATAAGCCTGAACTGTGGTGACCATAGGAATACAAACCACTAAGATAAAGCCTGGACAGAGTTCCTCTAGGCCGGGAAGTATGAACAGCAGTGTGACAATTGCTAGGAGGGAAAAATACCAACAAAACCCCAAAAAAACTCCTAACAGAAATTTAGGCCTGGGAAATGCATGTCAACCAGAAAGGAGCTCTGTTGCCATTAGCCTGGAGATTCATGGTGTCCTGACCAGGTGCAAACCACAAGGACTATTTTGAGGGAATTTGTTTCCTCCAATGGTTGTTTGCATCAATAAGTTTTTCTCTGATAGTTGCTGGACCTAAGATTTCCCACCTAAGGAAAACATGGCAAAGCATAGATATTTTGTGATCATACATGTGCTTCCATATCTCTGTACACACACAGCAATCACATGCAAACACTGAGAAAGTCAGATGTGGAGCTGAAGAGAGGTAGCATCCCTTCTCTGGTGAAATGTCTGCACATGTAACATCAGGTTCAAACACTGAGGTGATGTAAATTGGAAGTGCTGTGTTTAAGTCAGTAGAGATAGGCCATTTGATGCTGATCAAAAATACCTTCTCTAAGTAGGTAGGCAGGCCATGCCCTCCTAAATATAAGCAGATCCACTGAGTCAGATGTAATTTATAAACAATCAAATTCAGTCTTTTTTATCCTTCCACCTGGAGCCGATTAATCCATAAAATTTGGGAAACAATGAAAACCCACTGCAGCGTACCATCAGATTTTGAAAAGTCCTGCATTCAACAGTCGGAGTTGGAGTTACTTGCAGGAGTTAGATTAACAATGTTGCTCTAGCAACACAGTTCTTGAGATGCAGTCAGCAAACCAAGACTACAAAAACAAAGAGCCCACAAATCAAGCTCACGAGGACAGGCAGCTAGTTTCATTGCTTCTGACAGCAAGGTAGTTTAAGCCCTGCTTTCATTTGGCCATGTGCGTCCTTAGTGATTTTGAAACTGGGAAGGACCTATTAGATATGTCGAATTGGGGTACTGCCAGTAGCTATTGCTTTCAAGACCTTTACACAGTGAGATGGGAAGAATGTGTCCATGAAATAGATACTGGAGCCTGTGTGTTTGTGCATGTGTGCGTCAACTTCAGAGGGAAAAAGGAATGAATGAGTTAGATCTGTAAACTTAGCTCCCTTTGGGAAAACTCCTCCTCCAGAAACCTTCTACTTTTTCAGAAAACACACATTCTTGTTATTCCAGCTCTCTCATATATTTTGTAATTCCAACATGCAGTGAGATCAGTGTCTACATTGGCATAAAGGACTTCTGCAATTATGGTATAAATGAGGAATAAAATATCAAGACTGCTGCACAGATACACAAACTGATGTATGGGAAGGTTTAACATGCTGCTTAACATTCACTAAGACTGCAGGTGTAGCCTGCAGATACATCTCTATCTTTGCTCTTATAGTTTTCACTTAATGACTTTATTTAGTCAAAATTCTTCTGTATCATAGAAAGAGGCACTTGGAAGAAACTTGGAAGTTGAAAGGACATCAGAACACTTTGCCTGTCTGTTTCCATCTTGCATCCATACCTTGTGATCTCAATTCCATCTCCAAGTTGGACTGAAGTGGAAGATAAACCAGGTGCCTCTCCAGAACATCACTCTGATAGGGAGACAAAGACATGTGTGGATAGAGACCAGCTCAGAGGAGACAAAGCTGACCACACTGCATTGCTTGCTGCACTCCATGACTCTGTGCCCCTTCCAAACTTGCCTTGTAGCAGGCTCCGTGAGCCCTTTTATCAGCCCTAACTCCCAGCAATTACCTGCCTTTGGGATTTTAGAGCTCCCCGCTCGTTCCATAGCTGGTAATGGAAGCAGACAGGCATCTGGAACAATTGGTAAGTCCCTATTGCCCTCCCATGGAGTGGAGCATGCCCTCCCATCCATTTGTTCTCTGGACCAGGAGTGTGGGAAGGGACAGGGGACCTACCCCACATGCAGCCATGGCAGCCGAGCTCAGCTGGGAGGAGGCGCCTGCAGCTCCCAAGTTCAACCCCTCCACATCCAGCAACTGGGATTTCTCAGATGAATGCTCCTGCCCTGGAACTCACTCCCCTTGGCAGCTGCTCAGACCTTGAGTCTAATAACCTTCAGGGCACCATACAAACTTCATTCATTTTGTTTAACCTTCGATTAACTGAGTTTCTCCTACAATCTTCTCTGAGATTGAGGCCTCCATGGCAAACAGGAGTGAGAAACAAACTTCTTAAGTTTTTCTGCTAAACACAGCAGGGCAACAAAGTAAATACAGTTACCCTATGCTATCTAGACTAAAAAACACTACTGAAATGTGTACAAGAAAACAACCTTAACATTGATAAACCTAAAACCACTGTTTGTAAAGAGTTGACTACCTCTGCTTGTCTCTTTGGTGAAGAAAACATTTCAGACACAGAGCAGGGATATAGCAAAGGGCCAAAATAAAATGCAGAATTAATATCATTTTTTCTTTAATTTGTAAAACACCTGCTATGGTACAGATGCAAGAAAAGTTTTTCTATTTCTTTCCTCTCTAAGCAATTGCTAGAGCTGCTGCAGAGACATTTTGCAATTGTGAATACAAAAGGAGCTGGTTTATCTGGCAGGCAAGCTGTGGTTCCCATGATGAAAGTCTGAGGATTCTGGTGCTGGCATACACATGCCAGCTACTCCCTCCTGTGATCCTCTGTGTGGCAGCTCACCCAGTCTCTCTTTTTTTATCCTGATTTTGTCATAAAGTTTCTGAACCCTTTGCTTGTGGCTTCAGATCATCTCCTACCTCAAGTGAAGGGACTGCCTCAGGGAAAGACAGCCTAACTAAAGAGTCATGTCCTAGTTGCCAGGATGAAGTAGGAGAGGGGAGACATTTAAGGATTTTCAAGTGTTCCCTGTAATTTGACAGTTATTAATCATGTTCCACCTCTCTTAGTGCCTCCAGCTCATTCATAACTTGGTTGTTCTGTACCTGCAGAACTCCAAGGGTTTCTATGGAGCTGCATAAGGTGAAAAAAACCTGAATTATTCCCAAAGCACTTCAAAATTAATTGGCTAGATTGTGGTGTTGTGGTTTGTTGAGCTTTTTCAAAAATCCTGACAATTTCTGTGGCTCAAAGCAGGGTAGAGCTGACTTTGAGAGTCAGTGTGGTTGGAGCACGTTGCATTTCCTTAAAGATAAGAGAGAGAATCATTTCACACTTTGCCTGGATTTGCAGTAACACTGGAGGTATGTGAATCATGGCGATAAATGTTGCAATGCACAGCAAACTCCTGATTCAAAGTCCTCCCTTTATGAAGCTTTCCTATCTCTAAGATAGTATGATGTAGCTCTTGGGTAGATCCCAGATGTAGGATCCCACTTCAGCACAAACCACACTGAGACCTTTGTGGCAGAGATGAGTGCTGTCTTCCTGGTCAGACAGTCCAAACACAGCTCAAACATGCTCATCTCTTTGGGCTAGACCTGGTGAGACCTGGAAAAAGGAAGAAATGAGCACTACAGCTTTTTGTGTCTCAGCCACAGAAAAGGACAATCTGTGCACAGCTAACACCTATTAACCCAACCATTAATGGTCCATACACTGGGCTTTCAGCTCTGCATATTTTCAGTTTGATCCCTGGTGAGGCAACGTAGCATCCCCTACAGATATGGCTTCAGCATTTTGGGGGAACCAGACAAAACTCTGTGACTTCAAAATCTAGATCTGCATGCATATTTTGTAGCTACTGCCCAGTTCTGCTTTGCATTAACAGTTTTGGAAAAAACCATTACAAGAAGAAGGGAAAATCAAAAGTTTCCTCCTCTGTTTGATGAAGATCTCACTTGGGAAATCACCTACCCCACTAGTCCTGCAAACAAGATGCCAGGCATAAATATTTCACCCAGCTGAAAGTAAATACAGATCTTTCTGCTAAGCCTGCAGCTCCACACAAACAGAAAAAGGCTTAAATGAAGGTGTGAGACCAAAAATTAACTTCAGCAGCATGAGTAGGCACAGTCCTGGGGAGCACAGGGAAGCAGAGGTGAAATCATTTAGCAAGCGTACATGGTGGGAATTTGAGTGA